CACCACGGCCAATCCACCAAGGCCAACGCACCATGACCAACTCACCATGACCAACTTGCCATGTCCAACTCACCCTGACCAACTTGCCATGGCCAACTTGCCATGGCCAATTCACCATGGCCAACTCGCCATGGCCAACCCACTGTGACCAACTCACCATAGCCAACCTACCAAGATCAACACACCATGGCCAACTTGCCGCAGCCAATTCACCATGGCCAACTCGCCATGGACCACTCACTGTGGGACAATTTAACAATTCTAATTAACTATCCATAATAAATAAATAATAATCATTTTTGCCATTCACATTTCATTCTGTCCCTCCTTTGGCATCCTTTAATGATTCTAATCCACCATTATTATTTCATATTAGTGTAACTCTTGTCCCACAGCGAGTTGGCCGTGGTGAGTTGGCCATGAATTTTTTTTTTAATAAAAGTTTTTTATTTCAATCTACACACACACAACATTGTGTGGTATCAATATATCATACATTTTAGTATAAGCAAGCTTAATAATCTCTTAATACCCACATTCATATTAAGTCTAAATCCTTCCTTGCTTATTTTCATCATTTCAATACTCTCTCAAATGCCAACCACCATATCAGTTAGACATACCTAATAATTTCATTATTCAATTTCCTCCTCAATTTTTTTTTAAATATTAAAAAAATCTCATTTGGCAAGCAGTATGGTTCCAGGTTTCAATATAATACAAACATGACCATATTTAACTGTTATGTCTCACCTGGACAAACAAAGTAATAAGTCCAAACTTCCAACTGAAATACAAATAAGCAGGCAAGTCTGGTAACTACAGGGTTACCTTCCTTAATCCAAAAACATTCTTGGCAGCCTCACGCCAGCTGTCTGCCAAGTCTGATAAGGAAGCATAAATCACAAGCAGACACCACACACAGGAAAAATACAGAAGCTTCTATCCCAAATTAACAAGTTGTCCCGAACAAGAATCCAGAGCTAACACGCCCACTTTTATTCCCTGAGGGGCGTGTCAGTCTCTCATCTCAGTCCCTGATTTGTCCTTTCCTCACGCCTATGTCTGCGTCTTTGCCTCGCATCAAACCAACATTCCTCAGTTTGATCCTCAGCCAGAGGCTCTGCTACGCTCTCCTGATTATCTGCCGACACCTGAGGCACAACCAGGGAGGAAGGTCCTGGGGAGGAAGGCAATTCCAAATCCTCCAGCAAAGCAGGCTCAAACTTCAAGGCCAAATCCTCCTCTTCCTCATGGCTCAAGTCTGTGTC